ACTCCTGGTAATCTTTGGGTAAAGCTGCAAAGCGGGGAGCAGGGTGACACCGCGCTCAGCAAACAGCTCTCGGTGCCTTCTGCCAGGGAACGGCGTCTCCGCCAGGCTGTGTTTCGTGTTTTCTTTGGGGTTACAAAGGCGTGCAGGGAGGCAGCAAGGGCCTCGTGCCCAGAAATCCCACCGCGAGCGGAACACGGGGCCAGATCACGCGCTCCGGAGCCGAGGGCTGACGCTGCTCCCCGCCTGGCGTTTTGCCTTGCCGTGGTGCTGGGAAGGCATCATGTTTCCTGCAAGGCTCATCCCGGCCTTGCAAAACCCTGCTGGCCTCTGCTGCAGGTAATTGCTGGCAGGAGAGCCCGGGGCGGCGCTTGGCAGCTTGTGCTTTGGAGCAGCTCCTCGTCCCGTTGGGCTTCAGGGTGAGGAAGCCCAGCTCTGTCCTGCTGTCCTGCTGCCCAGGCTGCCGAGAAAACCCGCCTGGAAAAATCTGCAGCAGGGGCTGTGCCGCTTCCTTTTTCTGAATCATGTATTTTCTGGGACTGGAGCAATGCTTAGGCTTGGGGAATCTTAATTTTTGCTCAGGTGGGTAGGTCAGCTACCAGGGTGGGGATATAAACTTGTTTTCTTGTGCTAATACTGGCTCTGGACTGGCAAGCGACTCTTGCCAGTCACAAGGCAACAAAAAAATAAGTGGCTCATCCAATTAAATGTATGTATTTTTGAGCAATAGTTTGAGAATAGTTTAACATGAGATTTGAAAATAGAGATGAAATGTTTTGCTAGTTTCCAACTTGCAATTAAGTTTTTCCTGTTGGCCTGTTATTTTTAACGTTGCTAGTGATGAGTGAAGCATCAGGAAGATGCATACACATCTAAATCCATACGTTAATTTTTGTATAAAAAGGTGACTAATGTAAGAAAATATTTGTTAAACAGGTGAGTTTCTTAAATATTCTTTAACTGAGGAAAATGATGTTAGTGCACAGTTGCAAAGCTACAACACAAGATGGGTGTAATCGCTGCAATGAAACTGTTACTGCTGTTGGGCAAGAAGAAAGTTCTGTGGAAGAGTGAAAGTTCAGCAGCAAGACTCAGTACTCCTGAATAAAAACAAGGTATAAGGATCTTTTAAAAGGTCCCTTGATGACTGTGCCTCTCTAATCATCTACTCAGAAATAATCGGACAAGTTGACAAATTGGCATGCTAGTCACGACACCCACGTCAGTATTTTAGACTGGCTTTGATTTTTGGCTAGCCAGCCTTCTCAGGGCAAGACAAGAAAAGATGCTTCCATCATGCTGAACCAGAGGCACCAGAGTATCAGAAAACTGATAGTCTGGAAGAAACATTGGATGCAATTCAATTGAGAACCTCTGGGAAGTCGTTATCTACAAGGACACAGCCAGAGGGTCATGAAGAATAGCAATGCTCCAAGAGTCAGCTCAGCTCTCCACTTAAACGGAGTATCTTTTTGTTCAGAAAACCTAAGCAAAACACTATTTTCTTTTTCTGCGTTACTGTTATTGTTGGTGAAGGTTATAGCAATGCAAGCAAAATGCTGTATAGAGCTGCTTGTTGTAACTGCAGTGATAAAGAAACACTTTATATTCCATCAATTTCAGGATATTAAATCTAAGTTCTTAAAATGAAATGGGAATATTCGAAGAACTAGCTGAGCAACTCTCTGAATAAGAGTATTGTTTTTTGACAAGTGCTGGAACACTGATTGAAAATACCTGGGAAATAGCATGCCAAGATCTTGAAAAGGATGACCTGGGGAATGACAGGGCCTTACAAGAAACCCTTGTGAAAGTAGGAAAAGTTTGACTTGCACTATAGTCAATAAACAAGTAAAATACAATAATATAGACCAAGTAAGTCAATGTTGTCTAATGGGAAAACGGGTCCTGTCAGACAAGCTTTGTTTTTGTTTTTGCTTTTTTTAATGAAACAGATTGAAAGCAGTCACGTCTCCCACTCAGGAGTTCAAAGAATATTCAGGTCTACCTTCAAGATGAAAAGCTTTGAGATACGATTGCTTCAGGGCACCACTTCAAATACCCTAAAGGTGGTGGTTAGAGGAAGATGGAGCTGGTTAGCAGCCTCCCACATCTTCACGGAGCATTCGGACAGTGGGCAAATAGATAAAAAGGGGTGTTCACTTTCTGTTCCTTTCGCTGTATTATGTGGAAAAAAAAAAGGATTAATTCAGCTATCTCACTCCAGTAGTGAGATTTGGACCATGAATATCAACCAGCAGAAGGCATTTTTGTCACTGAGAGGTATGGGGCTCACTCCCTGTGTATCTTCCCAGCATTTCCTCGTTTCCTAGGCCACTTTCTGCCTAGTTGTTGATTTTCGTGTTTCATGTTCTTGAACATCTAGCTTTTCTTTCATCTCACTCAGCAAACAGGATTTGCAAACTTGGACTGTGACACTCATGGTTTCAGTCATGTACCTGCATCATAACCTCAGGAATGGATATGAATCTACTGCCTACACTGCCATAAAGGAGGCATTATATGAAAAAGATTTTAGAAAAGAGTTACAAGGAAGAACTAAAACTGAGGAATATACCTTGTAAAAAGAGGCTAAAGAAGGCTGATCTACTCAGTTTATTCAATCCTTTATGCATTCTCTTAATAAGTAGCTATTGAGAGAAAAGGGTGTTTTCACCTAATTAAGAAAGAATCACCAAACCTATTAAAAATCCAATGAGGAGAAGATGACTTTATGCGAGTTCAGACTCAGAATGCAATTCTGCTTTTCAACAGGGAATTCACCATTGTGAGCATGAGTTTACATAGAATGTGGGGCTTGTCCATTGTACTGTTAAATTTTAAATCAGGGCTGGTTATATTCCGAGAGATATTACAGTTCAGTCAGAAGTTACAATTTGATAAAGGGCATTGTGAATAAGCTTTTATGCCTTATGTTACGGATGAGTCAGACTAGATTACCATAATACTGCTCTCTGTTTTAAAATCTATGAATTTAAGCAGTTCATTTGCTGAGGATGTAAGTATGTAGCAATATTCTTACTATGGGAGTTCTGAGTCTGATATGCAAAACATTCCTACAATGATTAAAGCTCTTCCAGTTCCGGATTCTGCCACCTGTATTCATATTAAATGTTGCACTCTCCATACTGTCTGTTGTATAATGCCATAGGGAATTAGGGATGGGATAATTGCACAGTGCTGTATTAGTCACTGGATGTAAGAGTAGTGTCCTCAAGAGCTCAGCGCTACATCAACAAAAATCTGTGGTGCAATATGTATTGAAATGTATAGAGCTGACTATATTGTCAAGGCTTAGCTATCCAGTGTGTAATGGAATATTTTCCACAGCGTGAAAAAAAATCTTGTTTTCCAGGCTTCAATTTTTGTACAAAGCCGTGACATTTTGTCTCTTTCGGAACAGATTGTCTTTAGCAATAGGGAGGCAGAGCTGGATTAGCCTGCTGGAAATGCTGTAATTTTCCAGTGTGTATTAGAAGCAGATTGCTGGGGAGAGTAACAGAAGCTTCCCTGACCACTTGCAGGCTTAGGTAAACAATTTTGTTGAAAAGCACAAGGAAGTGAAATTCAAAATCCAACAGCATTTGGAAAAGAGGAGACTGTATGAACAGTTTATATCAGTAAGAAGAGTTAATTCTGCCTGGATTTTTTTTTTTTTTAGTATCCAAAGCTTTAGTATCTATCAGTCATGTATGGATGTGTGTGTGTGTGTATACATATGTGTATACATATATATATATACATTGTATATAGGCAATAATTTTAAGAAATGAAAGACTTCCAGTAAAAACATATGTCTCTTCCTGTTTAAAACAGCTTTTTAAATCTCTGGCTGTTGTCCTTCCCCTGACATTGACCAATCCAGTCACCTCAGCTGAAGGTAGAGCATCACACCTCATATCTAAATACTCAACAGCCGCTCCTGCAGAGACAAAAAATGGCTAAACTCTCTTCTCCATCATTACAATCAACTGTTGTGTAATCAAAACAATCAGAAAATAGAGACATGCTTAATACTTAGCATATTTATCCTTGGGAGAAAACAAACAAACAAACAAACCCATTTGTGATGAGGTTGTAAATTTAAAGAAAAAAAAATAGTTTTTTTTAAATTTGTCATAGCCAATCTATGACATGCACAACTTGCTCACAAGTAATTGAGATGAAGAAGAATTGCCTATGGAGCCTAGTCTTGAATAGGCTAGAAAAAGCTATATCCCAGACTATGAAGCACAGCAGCAGCATCTCAGCAATGCAACTTTGCTTTATGATATTGCAGCTGTGTCATTTTTCCTTTGGAAAGGAAAAGAACCTTTGGAAGACTTTGCACCTGCTACATATGTCTCTTCAGGCAGACCAATGTGTTCTGCCTTCATGTTGTCTGAAAGCAGATCCTGCTAAGAGTCTCCAAATCACTGTGAACTTTACAGTGTTGCTAGAAGAAGTCCTTAAGAGCTGTCTAAAAAAATATTTAAAATGCTTAATTTAAGCCACTGACAAAATGTAGCAGTTTTGACATGGATGAGCATGACAGACACATGTGATCGAAGAGGAAATGAAAAAGGAGGCTGATCCCTCCCCTTCACATGCCCCCAGCTGAAGGAAGGTCAAGAAATGCTGGGGACCAGAACATGACAGTACCTGCTCCTACCACATGGTCCATGGTGGGAAACCTTTTGTAGACAGCGGTGCTCACGGAGCGGAAGATGAGCAGAGATGTTAAATTCACATAGCGCATGAGCGTCCTTCTCAACATGCGACCGTATTCATCTCTTCCCTGAACACAGCTAGAGATCAAGAACATCAGTCGATCCGGCCATGGCAAATTCACAAACTGGTTCCACCAGCGATTCACCACCAAAGTGACATAGAAACCTGGAGGGTTTAGAGAAAGAAAAAAATACCCAGCGCCTGTTCAGGGTTTCTGTTTAGCTTACTTTGATTTAGGTTGTGGAGTGTAACCGATTCGCCACATCTTCCAGGATAAAAGCAGTAAGTTATGTCAAAAAACAGGACGCATGCAGTCAATGTTTGTTATTTAATAAACAGCACGTCATGGCTCTTCCCCACTGAACAACTGTTGGCGTGTTAATATTAACTTTCATTTTTTCCTGATGTAGTCAAAATTGAATGGATTTAGTGTTTTGAAAGATCAAGAACAATATATAGTTAGTGGCATGCAGTACTATATATATAGCAGTATACACATACGCTACATACGCATGCATGCATGCATATATAAGAAAACTTTGCTGTTTTGTTAGCATATTAAGGACTTGAGCATTTGTGTTGAAGTGAAAAAAAGCAGCTTGACATTAAAGAGATCTAATGGAGGCTGATGTTTTTACTGCGAGCCTCTAATCTTCCATATGGCCCTCAGCTCATGCAGTCATTCATGATTCCTGGACAGAAGCAGTGTTGGAGAATAATTTCTGTTATCAGTACTTACCAAGCACAAAAGTTACAGGGATTTGTTCAGCATATTTGTCACAGTAAATTGATAATCTTTCAAAGAATCGTTTTTGGCTTCCTGTAAGAAAAAATCTGCAGCAAAAATAAAATGTATATGTCTTTTCATAATTCTCTGGCACTAGCTACAGAGTGCAAGCAAATATAAATAATCATAAATGTGCAATCAGGAGCAGCCTGGGCTAGTGTCTTCAAGTGAATAGTTAAAGGTAAAGTGATGAACCCTTGTAGTATGTAATAAGCTGGAGGAGAAGGCAATATTATTTTCTGGTCTTTGAAGTTTTCTCATGACTAACAGGCCTGGCACTCCATATTAGAATCAATACACCTTTGGAATTAGCATGCTATCTCATATAGACCACCAATGCTAGTAAGAGATAACCCTGCAAGAAGAGCTTGCTCTCATTTTTCAGAGGGCTACTTAACAAAGCAGCTCAGGTCTGCTTGAATTGCCAGGGTTACTCATCTGTACTTGCTGTTATTTGAAAACGCTACATTGCTGCAGCAGTATTTTGCTCTTACGCCTAAAAAATTTGTCTTATCTATATGGTGGAAAAACTCAACAGCTGTATTTATTTTGTAGCAAGGAAAATCTTCACCAGATGTTAGAAAAAAAAGTGAGTGGAGCACAGGAGCTTCTTCCCAAGGAGAAAGATATCTAATGAAATACAACAAGCTTAAACACAAACAACGTTTTTATTTGTAGATATATTACAGTTCCTCTTTGGTTTCTTTTAAAAATTATACATGACAAGCATTTGGTGTGCTTTTGCTTACAATTGTGTAATGAAATCTGCAGGGCATTTGGAATGCTTTCAGTGCTGCATTTAACTATATTCTTTAATTGCAGAACGTTTCAGTAAAGCTAGGTTCTGGACTTGTATTTCTTTACATATTGGTGCTGTAGTTTTACTTCTGAGTTTATAAGTATAGACCACTGACCATTTTGTAAAGTCAGTGATAGATCACCAACAAACTGAATTAATTTTCTCTTTGTTCCACACACTGCATGTAGTGTACTTCAGCAATTAAAGCTTTCAGTATACTAATTGATGCATTGCTTCTGTCACGCCGGTGTTTAATTTACACCTTGGCGAAGGGAGTAATTTTCCTTCTAACTTGACCCTCACAGGTGCTGTGTTACACACCGGTGCTTGCGCGTACACTTGTGTCATGCAGGTCACAACTATTTTCCATGCGGTTATGCTTAGCCAAAGGGCTGAGCCCTTAGCTTTGCAAGCTTAGGTCCGTAAAAATAAAGTTTGTCATGTTGCCCTTACTTTAAGCAAAGCTTCATTTTTCATAAGAAAAGTTTATGTACACAGGCCATCAAATTATTGCCTTTCAGAGTTCTCTACAAAACTACCACTAAGCAGCTGAAGATATGTTCTGCGAGTAGGACGAAAGGTCTATACTTAACATTTCAAGCTAGATGCTCAGCATTGCCAAGCCAAAAGCTGCATTATGTGGGCTAGCTCTAGGCTTTTTGCTTAGCCTAACATCACTAGAGCTGATGTAGAGGTCAACACTGGAACAGGACTGAAAGCAGCTGAATGTGACAGAGAGCATTTTCTTTAGACTCTACATGCTTTCTCTGCAATACTAAAGCATATGTGAAAGATTGAAGGATATCAAAAAGGTCCAAAGATCACAGTTTTGTAGAAACCTCCCCCCCAAACAGTCATCTCTCAACCTAATGCTATGAAGTGTGAAACTTCAATATAACATTTAAGGAGATGTGATTTGTAAAGAGTGTACCTGTATAATACACTTATCGCTGTGTAAAGAGTGGCAAAAACAATAAATTCTCTGTACAGCAATTTGTAGATGCTGCCCTTCCACTTTAGGAGTAATCTGTGAAATCCAAAGAAAGTGGCATTTGCTACTTTGCTGGAATAAGTGACTGTCATCGTCCTGGCAGGCTGTGCCTAGAAACAGTAGAAGAGAAGCAGGAAACCAATAACATTTTAGACAGCGTATCCTAACCTGAACGCACCCATGAAAAAAGGATAGATACATAGATCTACACACACGTGTACACATATAACAGTGTACGTACACAGACATGAATACACAGGGAGTGCGTGCTTACATATATATATAAAGAGAGAGAAACATGAAAATCCTGCAAACAGAAGCCCCGATGAGACCTGCAAATTGGCGGCTGCAGCGCTGTCTCTGGGCTGTGCCCCGAAGACCACCCCAAAAAGCTGCAGCCAGCGCCAAGCGCGGCTGCCTGCCCGGGTGGCAGTGTCCCGCACGGATGTGTCACCGCTCCGAGGCCTCCGCTTACCCCCAGGTTGCTCCAGCCTGGCGCGAACAAAGAAACGGAAGTAAATGTGCTTGTAATTTTTTAAAACTTTGCCTGATCTCCAGCAACAGAAGTAAAACTAAATTTCCTCCATGTGCCTGTCTCCCCAGCCAGTGTTCTCAACTGGCTTTGGCAACTGCATTCATCTAAAACCAGAAGAGATTTGGAGACTGCCTCTTTCATTAACAGTTATCACAGCAGCTGAGATCAGCTTGGGAGCCTTGTTATTTTTCTACTCGGCAGCTAGACATATTCATCAATATATTGCCACCCCAGCATTGCAGGGCCATGCAGAAAAGCTGCAGGATTGCTCAGGCAGACAGCATGCAAGGCAATGTAATTAAGGCAGTACTAAAAGCATAAAGGTAAATGTTCTACTCCGGTTTTGTTGCTTGCTCTCACCTAGCGTAGGAATAATAAATTAACTTTTATGGGCTTTCAAAAAAGTAAACACCAAAGTGAAAGCACTTTTGTACAGAGTTCAAGGAAGGAAGTGATTAAGACAAGCACAAAGTTTCAAAGGAGTTATTGTAAGGCAGCAGCACAAATATGATCCTTTTCTACATCTTTTTGGTGCCAGCCTAGGTAACTTACTTAGAAAAAAAAATCCATAGTTAATAGATGACTTGATAGAATTTTGTGCAACTTGACTAGGTTTCTGAAGCAGAATGTAAAAATAAGCCATGAAAAATCAGTTGTAAAAATGCCACTTTTTCTTTTGATCACTGCAGAAATCAGCAGGGAAAACACACTGTAAGTATTATGGGCAGACGGTCTCTATGGACAAACTGTCTCATCCCATGTGGAGGATGCCTGCTCAAGGCTTGCCAGATTGACCTTGGGTTTTTTATATTTAAAAAAAAAATTAAACAGATGTATGGTTTTTATTCTTTCACATCCAAATGATAGCTTTTCTGCTTCTCAGACTTGGCACATCCCTTTATTTATTTTACTTCTTTTGCTGAGCTCTGAAAAGCACAACACAGGAGCCAAGCAGAGTGCCTGGCGTGCGGGAGCGCAGTCCTGTCTGCTAGCGAGCCTGTGGTCAGAAGGCAACATCTAACAAAAGAGAAGCAGAGATTTCCACTCTCTGGCTGAAACAGCCCTTTAGAAACAAGGGGAGAAGCAAGTGGCTGGATTAGAGAGGAGGAATTGGGTAAAAAAAAAAAATTGCTACAGCGTGTTTCCTAGGATAGCTGTCCCTGCCTTTAGACCCTGCTCATCAGTGTTGGGAAAATACGTGCTCAGGTCAGGCAGGGAAAACTGTACCTCTCTCCCCTGTAATATCTAGTCTGTAATGGAGACCTCCAGTGGAACTTCCTCTGAGCAGGAACTTACAAGGAGAAAGGATATTTGATAGTGAGAAGGCTGGTGCCACATGCCCCAGCAGAACAGGGTGCAACGGCTAGAGGAGGAGTCAGACAAGCGCAGTCTGAAGGGAGACATCAATTCCTACCTGTGGCAGCAACCCAATATTCGGACAGGGCAGACTCCTTGCAGTTTAGGATCTTTAAGATGAGAATAGGTAATTCTCTCAAAGAAAATCTGCTGGAGAAATTCACACATCTGGGGTTGGCCTGAGCGTCTAACCTCATGAAATTCAACAAGGCCAAGTGCAAGGTCCTGCCCAGTACAGGCTGGGGACTGACCTTCTGGAGGGCAGCTCTGCAGAGAAGGACCTGGGTGTCATGGTGGACAAATTGACCATGAGGCAGCAGTGTGTCCTCGTGGCCAAGAAGGCCAATGGGATCCTGGGGTGCATTAAGAAGGGCGTCTCCAGCAGGTCGAG